CATTTTGAAATAGAATGCAATGTAAATATTTGGTACTGTTGCATTATGAAACATGATGCTTTGTTCGAATGCAAAGGAATTAACATTTTGGAAGTTAGCCCCACTTTAACTGGCAGAATGTCAGCAGCTAATGTCGGAAAGGGTCTATCGGATCACTTCAATACTAAACGAGGTTTCAGACAAGTTGACATTTTATCATGTGGCCTTTTTAACATCCTGCGAGAAAAGGTCATGCGAGATTCAAAGGTGAACGGAAATGACACTCTTTACACCAAACAGCACATAGTATTCGCCTAATAGGTCGAACATTGCGAGCGAACATTGAGAGACTAAATTGAGAATAAGTCTGCCAAGTGGGACTGGCAGTAACTGACGAGTAGACCAAGCTGATGGTATCAACGCACAAGATGTCTAGTAGACTCGGACCAACTGTACGACTTGAAAACTACAGCTTTGAGGTAGTCAACGCTTTTATATACCTCTTTACTACCAAAAAGAAAACTAATGGCATTAGTTTTGAAATTTGGAGAAGGATAGTGATAGTGTGCCCAACAGACTCTACTCTTTTCTGTGTAATTAATTTCGGAACAAGGCCACCACTCGCCAGACCAAACTCCCGTGCTGGTATATGAATCTGAAGCATGGACAATTAAGCAAGCAAATGAGGTACATTTTGGAGTGTTTGAGAGGAAATTTGTCAGAAAGAGCTACGGGCCGATTTGCATCGGCGTCAATGAATCATCATCTGCAGTGACTCAAAATGCATATAAAAGATCATGTTGAATATTACATATTAAAATAAGGTCTTCCAAATTGGAAACACTATGCACAATGGAACAAGTGTTCTATTTCGTGTAAGCTAAGAAGAAAGAAGTCCTAGGAGTCATCCTAGATTACACATTTTAGCATACACTTCTTTAGGTACTCTTTATAAAAGAACTGGGAACAACAAATTTAAATTGTCTACCAGATCACAAGAACAGCAAAGGAAACTCAGTGTCTAAACTCTTAAGTTCACATTCGATTTCATATGCCACTTTTACTAGTAATATAATTCTTTGATCAAGCTATTGAGTTGTCCCATGATTTTCTTCCCTTTTCATAGCGATTTGCATATCCCATCTTGATAAAATGCCTATATACCGTTGTCTTGCGAATGTTAGTGTCATCCACTATCTCACGCACACTATATCGCGGATTTTCAGCTAGAACAGTCTTGATAAGATCCGTATCCGTCGTATTTCTTACACCAATTGCGGACGGTCCTAATGGTCGTAGTACCACTCCCGTAAACGGTACAAATCTCGTCTGCAGTGTCCTTTGCACTATTGCCTTTTGTAAATCAATGAAGCATAACATGCCGTAAATGCTTCTTTTGGTTCTCCATATTGAACGGGGCCAAAAAAAAAAATTTAATGAGGCTTTGTCACTAACGAACTCCGGGTCGACAGAAACAGATGCATAAACGGCTAAGAAATAAGCCTGCATGTTTATATAAGCATAGCCAGTCAGACTTATTTATAGCATGGCGCGGAAGAAACTTATGCGGTCCTAATGGTCGTAGTACCACTCCCGTAAACGGTACAAATCTCGTCTGCAGTGTCCTTTGCACTATTGCCTTTTGTAAATCAATGAAGCATAGCATGCCGTAAATGCTTCTTCTGGTTCTCCATAATGAACGGGGCAAAAAAGAAATTTAAATGAGGCTTTGTCACCAACGAACTCCGGGTCGACAGAAACAGATGCATAAACGGCTAAGAAATAAGCCTGCATGTTTATATAAGCATAGCCAGTCAGACTTATTTATAGCATGGCGCGGAAGAAACTTATGCGACAACCTAATATATTAGATTTAAAATTTTCTCCTTTCTGCAAAATGTCCTGGGCGGCGAGAACTCTTAAAGTAGTGCTCATAAACAAAATAAAAATATATATATATATATATATATCCTAATCACTAGACAATACGGAATTATGCAAATCAAGGAATAAGTTTTCCATATTTTTTTAGTATTAGATACCACTAAATTTTGTTAACCCAGAAGTGTTAAACGGCAAAGTAACCTGAGGAGTAATGAACTACTAAATTAGTTATCTTAAACCAAATATATCCTAATTACTAGACAATACGGAATTATTATTATGAAAGAATTATTTTCCAAAAAGCTATCAAAGACTGCATTTAAGACTCTATTTTTTTTATTAAATACTGAAATATTTTCAACAATTTTGTCGCCTTCTTACCAATTGTAAATTATCAAATATAGCTATAAGTTCTACATTTAAATCTTGTATCTAATAATTAAACCCCCATTTCTTTTGTCTCTTCTCTTCTTCTTACAGTAAACAACAACATTAACGTCAAAACGGGAACGTGTAAACAACATTCAAACAACAATAACATCGTCATACAAAACTTCTTTTCGCTATTCAAACCAAAACCATCAATTTTTAAAACGTTTCTCTCTTTTTTACATTTTCAAACACCGTTTTTTTCAACGGCTTTTTCGTAATTTATAAAATTTAGTGAATTTTTGCAAACTTTTAAAACAAATTTTAAATTAAAAATAAACATAACCATATAAATATCTAGTGTTAAATCCATATATAAGTTATTATTAAAAAAAAATAATGAAAATATATTGTTAGTTTAAATACAAAAAATAATCATAATACGAAATAATTAAAGAAAAAGAAATTAATTTAAACAAGAGCTCCTCCTAAGCTAAAGTGTTCAACAATTTGGCCAATTATTTGAAAGCAAAACAAAGAAGTGAATTTTTTTTACGTTAAAGAAGAAATTTTGAGATTCAAATGCAAAATGGAAATATTTTAATTTTTTTTTACAAGTGAATGAAAAAGAAATTTGAAAATATAAGTTTTTACTGCTAAGTTTTTATTTTTCTAAATAAGAAAATCTATTTAAATGTGCGGTGTTTAAATAAAAGTGCATAGAAAAAATAGAAGTTTAACAACAATTCTTCCTTCTTATTCTTCTCATTTGTGTTCTCTGCCGATAAATAAAAACAAAAAATAATCGCCATAGAAGAAAGATAAATGAAGTGATTTTGTTTTATATTCATCCACTAATTGAAATTTATTACCGGAAATTTAATAACAATACGAACCCGTAAGCCAACGCGCCGAAGAACACAAGGCAACAAGTTTTTTTTTGTTGTTTTCCTATTGAACTTGACAAAACCCAGAAAACAGATTTAAATACACACTGAGAGAAAAAATCTAAGCCCTTGTTTAGTTTTATACACTGTGAAAAACAAATAACGAACCTGAGAAGATCACTGACTACTCTCCCGCCTTCTCTCTCGTCGTGAGAGGAACCTAACAGAGTTGAAAAAAATGTCCTGGCTTTGTTTAGCCGCAACAAAGTGATAGTGTATCGCGTAAAGTTTTGCCTGCTGTGAGAGCCAATATATCTGTGTGAGATTAAATAGCATAACCTCCTCTCGCCGTTTTTTTGGAGTCTCAGTTTTAAGAAAATACTGAAGAAGTCCTCTGCGTAAAAAATAAACTTTGTTAAAGGAAATTGTGTGGAACCCTCCTTTTTTTAAATTTATTTTCAAAATTGCCGCGGTAATGCAGTCGTTATTTTTACAATCGTTTTGCGTTGTCGTTGCCAAACTTCGTTGTAATTTCGTATTGACAATATGCATCGCCAGCATTGTCGTTTAGTTTATTTTTATAACGTTAAAAACGTCGCCGAAGCCGTCGCCTTTGAAGTTGTCAGTGTCGTGATTATCAACGTCGTCGCCGTTGTTGTTATTAGCATCGTCCGTGTAATTAACGCCGTCGTCGGGTATCAACCAACAACCGCCTTCGTTTTAACCAATAAACATTTGAGCGAGCAATTGAAACCTCCTCTCTGTAATAACCACCACCAACAACAACAACTATTCCTCAATAGTAAAACTAACGATTCGTTAACGATATCCTCCGAGTTATCGTTATACGGTTACGAATCATCTACGTCCTCAACAACATCAGCATACCTGCCAACTAGAAAAACTATTGTGACGCCGTTGCAATTGTCATCATCGCCTTCTGTGGATTTATTCTTGCTCCCCGATTGTTTGTGGCTGTTATCTAATTTAACGCAAGTTTTTTCATGATCATTGGTGTCATCAACGCTAGCAGCAGCAGTCGAACTAGTTTAACTAATCTAATCTGATTTGGAGACTACACGATACGTAACGATCCAAATAAGCAGAACAGCATCAACGGCACCATCATCCTCCTCCTCCATCTCAACGCTTTTTCCATTTGGTTGGTCAATGTTGTTGAAATTCAATTAGATTTAATTTAGTTTTGCCTACTATTATTAACCTCTAATCTTGTGACCGACAACTTGAGAGCAAAAAAAAAAGCCGTTAGGCGATAGCAGAAACCTAGACGTAATCATAGAAGAAAAACCAACTCAGAGAAAATTAAATAAATCAAGCTTGAAAGCTGTGAAGCATATTTTTCTCCCCACACGCTCTCTCTCGTATCTATCTCTCTGAGAAAGAGCAAAAGTCGACGAATTTATTCTCCCCAGGCCATCATCAGCATCAATTAACCCAGCCAGCCACCCACCTACACAAGTGGTGCTCTAAGTCATTATCTAACGGCTGGTCAGGGTTTGAGCAACGCGGAAAACGCGGATAATTTTCCCAAGAAGCAAAGAAAGCTAGAAAATTTAGAAAACGGAACTTCAAAGAAGACTTTTTTAGTATATAACCTAACAACAAGGACAAACAAAAAACAGAGAATTAAGATCTAAGATCGCGTTAAGAAATAAAAACCAAATTTTAGTTAAACGAAAATTAAACAACCTAAAATTAATTTAAAACAATTGTCATCCCTAGGATAAAAATCTTAACTTTACAAGAAAAAAACTACCCTTCTGATTCTACGAAAAATCAAGTTTTTCCTCTTTTCCAATTTCCAACAATTCCAATTAAGCTGTTACCAGCGAAATCGAAACGTCGTAACACCATCAACGATCATCAAAATTCCTTAGACAACATTACCAACGCCATTCGGTTTATTGGTTTCGTATTTGATACATTGATAACACCCGGGTTTGGTTGGACAATACGCACTACCCTGGATTTGCTGTTGAAAAAGTTGCGCACTCTAAAAACCCCGATTATGGCCGAGAATCAAACTGCTACAGAGGATTCCGGTCAGCAACAACAAACGCAAACTCAAACACAGCATCATCATCAGCAGCAGCAACACCACCAGGTAGATAATCAAGAGCAAGAAGAGCACCCTATCGAAGTAGAACATCCCGAAGATCAGTCACTCTCATCACCACCACCACTATCACACCCACCATTGTTGTCCACCCAAAATTCCGAAGATCTATCCTCATCGTCAGCTTTAAATTCACCCGTGACACCACCCAACGAGAATCACTCGGCATCTTCACCGGACGAACCGCAGACAATAGTTATTGCCAGCAGCCGTCAACAGCGACAACAGCAATCACCTCAACACTCACCAGCACGCAGCATGATTGATCGTCCAGTTCCAGCTAGATTTAAGGTGTCCCCGAATACACCGCAACGTCGCAATACCATACAATCGACAACGGCACCCCGGGTGGCCAGTACCACATCCATTAAGAAGCCCACCCTGGTCAAGGTGAATTCGTTAACCACCACCAATCAGGTGGATAAGAATAACACCACCAACAACATGGACAAGCATCACCATCATCACCACCACCAGCATCATCACCAGCACAGTAACAGCAGTGTTGCCAATCAGCAGCATCACCACCATCATGGTCACCATCATCAGCACACAAATTCAACTTCTTCCCTGGTCAACAATGCCGTTACCACGACAACAACAACCACCACCACCACCTCAACGGCCATACAGCGCACCACCAGCGAATGTCTGCGTTTGAATGCGGTGCCACCACCCTCCAATACCCCGGCCACAGCTGATTCGCTATCGAATGCCACCAGCTATAATAGCATACATTCGAATATCACCAACAACAGCTCCAGTTCAGCCTCAGTGGCGCCCAAATCGACCAGCTCCAATGCCAGTCATTCGACCAAGAATTCCACCTCGAAATCATCCTCGGCAAATTCAAGTAAGGCTTCATCGCCCAACAATAATAACAGTATTGCCGAACAGCCTGATCGCCAAAATCAAGGTGGTGGCGGTGGCATGCGTTCCACAATGCGTAACCTTCGCAGTAACTATCAATCGGCATATGGCCAAAACGTGTCACGAAATAGCGCCACACAAGGTGGCAACAATATGCGTAAACCACCCAAGCCCACATCATCATTTCAAATTACTTCCGTTACACTGGGTGGCAACCCTAAGCCCTCTCCCGTCACCGACAATGGAGAGGATGAGTCTGCCGATGATTTTGATGAATCTCACACAGACGATAATAGTCGCATAACCGATTTGGAAAATGAAACACCCTCCATGTCGGAGGACACTTTTTCCAAGGAGGAGATTTACTATCATCAGGATGATGGCCTCAGTAGTACGGCCCCAGCCATACCTACCGGTTCACAGTTCGGTTTGGTGGTGGCCACACTGGGTGCCCAGGATATATCCAATGTCCAAGTGAATGTGGGTGAGAATTTCATTGATGTCGTGCCCAGTGGCAGTGATGTGAAAAAGGACTCGACTCAGCATCGCAGTGAACGCTTCAAGGTGGTGAAAATTGAGTCGACGGAACCCTTTCGTCGTGGCCGCTGGGTGTGTATGGACTATTTGGATCATACCACAGTACCGGGCGGCGGCGGTAAGGGAGATGCTGGAGGTGCAAACAACAACGAAAAGACTGAAGGCGGCACAGGAAATGCCGGTGAAAATAATGGTGAAGGTGGCGCACCACGCACCACCCAGAGCATGATATTGGGTCATGGTACCGCAGCCATTTTAGAGAATCACTTTGATGCCACGACTGCAGCTTCAGCTGATGGCAATTGGAATTATCCAGAGCCAGTAGCTAAAATGCCAATGGCAACAGGTGGCGCTGGTGGTGGTGGCGGGGCTGGCATCAATACAGCCCCTGCCACTGTGGTCCATGGTCTGCAGCAATTTGTGGATACGGCGAAGGCTGCTGGTGGCGGTGGGGCGGAAGGTGTTGCCCTGACCTCGGAGGGTCAATATCAAACACCACCGCAGGAGGTCAACGCCAATACTCCTCAGATGTCAATGGGTGGTCAGGTGTTGCAGGATGGTCAGGGTCAACAGATACCCATAGACTTTGCCACATTGGCGGCCCACAAACTCAAGCAATCATTGGAGGAGTTGAAGCGGCGTGAAGAGGCCATTGAGGCCTCGGAGAAGGCTGCTGCAGCAGCTGCCGTGGCCTATATACCGGGTCGCTCACAACCTGTGAATTTTGAGGCATTCAAACAACAGCAGCAGCAACAACAACAACCAGCTCAACAGGTCACCATGCAGCAGCAGCAACAAGCTAACCAAGCCATGCAGCAGCAGCAGGTGGCACCACCACCCCAGGCTCAGTCTCAACAAAGTCAGCCTCAGCAGCAGCAACAACCGCCACCACAGGCCCAACAGCAACAACAACACACTGTTTCTTTGCCCAGCAGTATCAACATGCAGAATGGCAGTATATCCATATCGTCGGATAACAGCAATGTGGGCTCTCCAGCCGGAGGAGGCAATGTTGTGCAGCCCCAGACCCAACAGCAGGTGCAGCAACCCATTATGGCTCAACAACAGCCACAGCAGGCACCCGGCATGACCTACAACATTGATATACAACAACAGCAACAACAACATCAGCCATTATCACCTGCTCCGCAACAGGGTCAAGTGCCACCCACATATGTGGCATCGAACTTCCAGTCAACACCACATCAGACGCCACAACAACAATCGCCTCAGATGGGTGGTGAAGGTGGTGGCGGTGGTATGGGAGGTACACCACAGCAGCAGGCGCAGCAATTGCAACAGCAGATGCAGCAGCAACAAATGCCACAGGCTGTGCAGCAGATGCAACAAATGCCACAGCAGCAGCCCCAACAACAGCCACCACAACAGCAGATGGTCCAGCAAATGCAACAACAACAACCGCATTCGCTACCGGTACAAATGCAAATGCCGGTTCAAGTGAGACAACAGATGCCACAACAGCCGCAGCAACAACAACAGACGATGCCACAGACCGTTCCACAACAAATTCAGCAACAGCAGACGCCAGCGCAGCCACAGAGGCAGCAATCATTACCAGTGCCACAGGCACAGCAGCAACAAATTCCGCAACAGGCTCAGCAAGGATTGCAGCAACAACAACAGCAAATGCCACGTTCGATGCCTGTTTCTTCCGTGCAACAAATGCCGCCGCAACAAGCACAACAGCAACAACCCCAGACCCAGCAACCACTTCAACAAAACGTTCCGGTTCAGCAGATTCCACAACAACAGCAGCAACAACAACCACCGCAGCAGCAGCCGCAGCAAATGCAGCGCCCTGCTATGGCGGTGCAGCAGCAAATTCCACAACAATCCAACCAACAGCAACAACCACAAATGCAACAGCAGGTTACCATGCAACAAATGCCGGCGCCACAACAAATGGCCCAGCAGGGTGTAGCTGCGAACTTACAACAAATTCCACAACAGCAGCAACAACAAATGGCACAGGGAGTTGGACAACAACAAATTTCACAACAACGTCAGGCTTCAATACAACAACAGACTTCACAAACGGATGGTGTGGCACGCAGCATTAGTTTGCCACAACAAATGCCAACCACACAGCAGCAACAACAGCAGCAGCCACCATCAAGTCAAACTTCACTTCCAACACAATTCCAGCAAATGCAACAGCAGCAGCAACCATTGGGGCCCGGACAAACTATGCCCCTGCTAACGCAAATGACCACGTATCAGCAGCCTCCACAACAACAACCACAGCAGCAGCAACAGTCTCAACAACAATCCTTGCAGCAGCAACAACAAGCTTCACTCGTTGCTCAGCAACAGCATAGTGCCCCAGCTACCATGGTGGATAATGCAGCCATTTTAGCTCAAATCCAACAACAACAGCAGGCGCAACAACAACAACATGCCTCAATGGCTGGTACGACCAGCACTTCAATGACTGCACCCATGATGACTATGCAACCAGGCGGTACTGCTGGAACGGCTATTCAATATCAACAGCCACAACAAGCGCCAAGACCTATCGATAATGCTCAACAGCAGCCACAACAACAGCCTGCAACAAGTGTCAACGTCCACTTGAATCCAATCACCTCGGCCACAGTTATGCCAACGAATATGTCCATGCAAGCAGCAACAAATATTGACAGTCAAAAATTGCAACAGCAGCAACAACAACAAAAGACACCACAACAAACACAACAACAGTCGTCATCGTCACAGCCAACACCACAGCAACAACAACAACAGCAAGCTCAGCAGCAACAGCCGAAACCATCTACAGCCACCACATCACAAACACCATCATCAACAACTACAGCGTTACAGCAGCAGCAACAGCAACCTATTGCGGAAACAGAGACTGAAAGGTGAGTAACTTTAAAATTCCGTAGTCTAAAGTGGTAAAGTGGTTGGGATCCTTGCTTATATAGTATTACAATCTCCTCTGGGTTTCTTTAATAGATATCTATTTTTTTTTTAGATCTGAGTGCATCCGCAAATCATGCTATGTCGATTATTCCTGTTGTTTCGTTTATAATTTTATAGTAAGTTTACATTTAACCGGATTTCGTTAACCCAGTGGGTTTCAATTGTCATTTCCTTTGCATATATGTCAAATAAATCCTCATAAAGTAGGTTAACCCGGTAAAAAGTTCTAATGTACAAGGAGTTTTATTCTGCATAAGTAGATTAAGCCTGTCTTAGGTTATTGGGCTGCCATCTGTCGATGCTTAGAAGCAACGCCTCCATGAATTTTGTGCAGTGGTTGGGGTCCTTGCTTATTTAGTGCCACCATTTTCCTCTAGGTCTCCCTAATAAAAGACTATTGTTTTTCTCCTTTTCTCTTGGGAGCATAGGGCCCATAGCATCGATTATTCCTATAGTTTCGTTTATCATTTTATTCCTCCATGAGTGGAATATTGCTTGTCCTAGGTGATGGGACTGTCATCTGTAATAGCTTAGAAGCAAAATAAATCACATCGGTGCAGAATATAAATGAATGTCTCAAATCTTTCTCTCTCGTGGAAGACCCAAATGTCTCCCCTTTTGCAGAAAATCACACGGGTTTTCACTTCTTGTAGATTCGAAAATCTGTTCACACGAACAGAAAGTCATATTTTTCATAAGATAAATAAATACTAATAAAAGAGTAAAGTGATTGACTGACTGACTGATTTAGTGATTCATCAACGCCCAGACGAAACGGCTGAAGCTAGAATCATGAAATTTTGGGTGAGGATCACTCTTGGTCCAAAGGTGACAGAACGGTACGAAAATTAAATTACTAAAAATTACTAAATGTGATACCATTTGTATTTGGCGAACCCGTAGAGCTAGAACTCGTAAATTTTTATTGAAGGTCACTGATGGAATGATTAATAGATATAGCAAAGGGGTTTTTCGACATTCCAACTACAAGTGCCCCTGAAACAGAGGTTTCAGCCTGACGATTGGGATTGGCCCTATAGGGTACAATGTGGTGGCTGTTGGTTAGCCCAAAGATTTCGCGGAAAGAGCTTCGGCTTGATGTGGAGTTGCATTATCAACCGGGTGCCTGACCCATAGAAAGGCAGAGGTTTAGGTAGTCCTCGACTCCTCACCAAGGAGGAAGTGAAGCGGTGGATCTTCGAATTGGTACCGGCGGATTGGCTCCAGAAGTCTCCTTGAGTACTCTGAGCTTTTCCAATGGGGCGCTGGTCGACGCTCAATTTCGACACCCAATGGTGCACCATGGTTAAAGCCGTTAAGGCGGGAATCATGTAAAACCCACAGGATTCATTAGAACTTTAAGTATGCGAAAAGTACTAAATGTAGTACAATTTCGTAGCATGTGAATGGATAGAGCTAAAAACTTGAAATTTGGAATGCGAATTAGGGTTGAGATGTAGGGTCTATTTAAGGAGATGGTTTTGAGAGCGTGTACTCATGTGTACGAAAAGTACTATATGGTACTATATTTGGTACAAATTTAATTTCGAGATACAAATCAAGCTGGAATCCTGGAATTTTAAAATAACATTACCGTCGGAGTGTAGTATTGGGATATGAACGTAATTTTGGAAATTCGTTATTTATTTATTGGTACAGTTTGAATTTGGGTGAACCGATAGAGCGAGAACAATGAAATTTGGAGTCAGGATATCACTGTAGGGGTGTGGGATTGGCATCAGGATTCAGTTTAAGAAATTAATACTTATGGGTACTAAATGGTACTAAATTTGGTACATTTTGAATTTTAGGTGAACCAATAGAGCTAGAATCATGAAATTTCGAGTCAGTATTACTGTTGAGGTGTAAGATTGAGATATGTAAAAGTTTTAGAAATTTGTACTAATGTATACTAAATTTGGTACAATTTGAAGTGTGAGTGAACCTATAGAGTTGGAATCCTGAAACTTGGATTTGGGATCACTGTGGGGGTGTAAGGTTGGGGTATGTAGGTTGCATTAGTTTTAGAAATTTGTACTAAGTGTACTAAATTTGGTACAATTTAAATTGAGGGTGAAGCGATAGAAATTTTGATTTAGGATCACTGTGGATGTGTAGAATTGGGGTATGCAGGAAGTTTCGGAAATTAGTACTACTACGTACTAAATTTAGTACGATTTAATTTGTGGGTGAACCGATAGTGTTGGTACTACGGTGTACTAAATTTGGTACAATGTGAATTGTGGGTGTACCAATAGAGTTGGAATCCTGAAACTTGTATTTAGGATTACTGTGATGTCCGTGAAGATAAATTTAAAATTTAACTAGCAAAGGCACAAACCACCAAACTTTTTCGCTGGTTCACATAGGGTTAACACAGTGAGAGTGAGAGAATGCGAAATTGCAGAACTAAATCGAGAGAGAGAGAGAGAGTGCGTGAGCGTAACTGAGAATGTGCCACAATTTGCAGAACAGAATTGTGCGCAGTATGTGAGTGTATTTGACAATGTGCCACCAATTTGCAGAATTAAATTGCGGCCGGCCTTATGCAAATTTCATATAAAATACCCCATTGTAAAAAAAATGAAGAAGGGTTCGGGGTTGAGGGGGGGGGGGGGCTCAAACGAAAGGTCTAAGAGTGTACTTTCAGAATATGTGGACCATATAGGCAAAAAGAATTGGATGGGAATTTTTCCGACTTGTAGGAAAATTTGATAAAATGGGCCATTTGTGAAGAAGTGTTCGGGGTTGAGAGGGGGGGGGGGGAGGGGGCTCAAACGAAAGGTCTAAGAGTGTACTTTCAGAATATGTGGACCATATAGGCAAAAAGAATTTCGGAGATGGGAATTTTTCCGATTTTCTGAAAATGTTTAGGGTGACTTTAGGAAAATTTCCGATAAAATGGGCCACTGTAAAAAAAAATTAAGAAGGGTTCGGGGTTGAGGGGGGGGGCTCAAACGAAAGGTCTAACAGTGTACTTTCAGAATATGTGGACCATTTAGGCAAAAAGAATTTTGGAGATGGGAATTTTCTGAAAACGTTTAGGGTGACTTTAGGAAAATTTCCACTGTAAAAAAATGAAGAAGTGTTCGGTGTTGAGGGGGGTCTCAAACGAAAGGTCTAAGAGTGTACTTTCAGAATATGTGGACCATATAGGCAAAAAGAATTTCGGAGATGGGAATTTTTCCGATTTTCTGAAAATGTTTAGGGTGACTTTAGGAAAATTTCCGATAAAATGGGCCACCGTAAAAAAAAAAATGAAGAAGGGTTCGGGGTTGAGGGGGGCTCAAACGAAAGGTCTAAGACTAAATGGTAAACACATTTAATTTATGGTCGAGATTAATGTGTGGATTGTTTTTTTTTTCTTGACATATGCAGTTTAAGTATTTCCTACATTCGCAAACGACTTTGCGGGCATATGCTAGTTAACAATAAATAAAATTTGATGCTGTCTTTAACTTCGTGACTACATATATGTCACTTTACTTTCGCAAATAATTGAAAAAAAAAATGAAATTCTCGGCATGTTCATCTCTTGTGGTTGTTGTTTTTAATAATTTAAAAGCATTTTTGTCTAAATTTCTTCGAAATGTGTATATATTTTTAAGTATATGTACAACTAAATATTTTGTGTGCAAATATTTAAACATTTTATGGCGTCAGTGGCTGGTTGCACTTCCTCGGGGTTGGTTATTTCTATTTGCAAAGATATTTTGTATGAAGACAGATATGTTTAGCAATAAAAAAAATATTTTATAAAAATTTAATTGAAATGGGAAAGCAATTATTTTTTTTTAATCAAATTATTTAAATTATGATACCCGACATAACCTAATTTTTTTTTTAAACACACCACCATATAATGCATTTTGCACCACTGTGCCTGCTGCTGCTGTTGATTATTAACGGTTTTCATTATTGTTTATTATTATTACCATTTTTTTTTTAATTTGTTTTAAATTTCCATTGCATCCATAAATGGTGGTGGAAAGCTAAGCAACAACTTGGCGAGATAGACAGACGACTTTAAAATCTCCTCGACATCTCCTCCTCATTTCGAGACTATTTTTCTTCACATTCACCATCACAGCACACCGGCTTGTTTGTTTGTGGGTCTTTCATGTCGGTCGTTGTGTCTGGCCTTAGTCTGTCTCGAACGTCTGTCCGTCGGAGTCTATTTGAATTTTGCTTGTCGGCTAATCGTATGTCGGTGCTGATTCATCAACACCTACTTCTTTCGAATCTTTTTACAACAGCAACAACAATATCACCAACTGCAAAATAGACAAGTTTTGCGCAAACGTACCGCCGGTGTTTTCAAACATTTGCCGGCTGTATTCGATATTTTCTTCTTCTTCCATTTCATATTTGTTGATTAAAGAAAAACTTTCTTCGTGTAGTTTTGTTTTATGTCTCTCCGCCGCAGATGTTTGTTAGCAGCAGCATGAAAATTGAAAATTTCTATTGTTGACCGGCATTTGTGTGAATTTTCTCCTCTGAGGGGAGGGATGGCAGACAGACAAGCCTGATCTTGCCTTTTGCCATTCACTCAAAAATGGATGGTTGTCAAAGAAAACGATTGTATTGAAAGAGTTAATATTTCAAAATTTTTTCGAGTTGTTGCTATTGTTGTTAAAATTGCTTTATGTTTTCTGCTAAATGGAATAATGATCTGTCATAATTCAACAACACACACACTTCCGAAAAAATATGATTTCCTCAGGGAAAAAGTGGGAGGAATGTGAGTTAGGGAACACTGGAAAAAATGTAAAATAACAAAAATATTTTTAAGGACTACAAATTTAGGATTGTCAATGGGCGTGGTGTTTTTAAAAAATATTTTTTGAGACTAAAAATATTTTTTTCAAAGACCAGCCAAGGCGTGGATTTTTTAAAGAAATATTTTGTCTACGACTAGCCAAGGCCTGTTTTTTTAAAGAATATTTTTTTAAAGACTAGCCACGGCCTGTTTTTTTAAAAGAATATTTTTTCAAAGACCAGCCAAGGCGTGGATTTTTTAAAGAATATTTTTTCAAAGACCAGCCAAGGCGTGGATTTTTTAAAGAATATTTTTTCAGGGACCCAAACAAGGCGTGGATTTTTTAAAGAATATTTTTTCAGGACCCAAACAAGGCGTGGATTTTTTAAAGAATATTTTTTCAGGGACCCAAACAAGGCGTGGATTTTTTAAAGAATATTTTTTCAGGGACCCAAACAAGGCGTGGATTTTTTAAAGAATATTTTTTCAGGGACCCAAACAAGGCGTGGATTTTTTTAAGAATATTTTTTCAGGGACCCAAACAGGGCGTGGATTTTTTAAAGAATATTTTTTTAGGGACCCAAACAAGGCGTGGATTTTTTAAAGAATATTTTTTCAGGGACCCAAACAAGGCGTGGATTTTTTAAAGAATATTTTTTCAAAGACCTGCCAAGGCGTGGATTTTTTTAAGAATATTTTTTCAAAGACCTGCCAAGGCGTGGATTTTTTAAAGAATATTTTTTCAGGGACCCAAACAAGGCGTGGATTTTGTAAGAATATTTTTTCAGGGACCCAAACAAGGCGTGGATTTTTTAAAGAATATTTTTTCAGGGACCCAAACAAGGCGTGGATTTTTTAAAGAATATTTTTTCAGGGACACAAACAAGGCGTGGATTTTTTAAAGAATATTTTTTTAATTTCTCAGTTCCTGCTGTCATACAAATACCCGGCATCTATGCCACGAAGCTGCTGATGAGATGCTAACAACAAAGAAATGAAAAGAGAAAAGAAAAAAAATTCGCCAACAGATCACCAAACAATTTTCATAAGAGAGGGAGAGAGAGGGTGAGGTACAAAGGGAGTGTGATCTCAGTGCGAACTAAAAAAAAAAACAGCAAACAAAACTTGCCAATTTTTCTTTGCATGTTTTGCGTTTTGGTATTTTGTTGTTGTAGTTGTTTTAGTATTTCGCGATGGCAAGTGAGTGAGTAACCAACCAACCAATAGACCACCACAATGCAAACATTGATAAAAAAGACAGTCGGACGGACCAACAGATGGTCGACTTCTCTGGCAGAGTGACTGACTGACAGACAGACAGCCATGCCGGCTGGCTGACTGGTTGACTACCCAAACCACCACAACTAGCAGGCAGTACCACTAGTTTTCTTATGCTTGTGCAAAAAAATTGTTGTTGTTGTTGCCTTTTTTATTGGTTTGACTGTCTTCTTGTTCGTAAGTTTGTACTCGTTTTAAGTACTAACACGCGCAATTGCGAATTCACGGCGTGTGTAGTTTTTTTTTTTGTTTGGTTGGTCTGACTACCGCTGCCTGCACGCCTGTCTTACTGCTACGCCACACCCTCCCTTGGTAACTGGTGGCGGTAGCGTAAAGGCTGCTGTTGTTATGAATAGGGAATCCATGGCGGGAGTTGGGGGGACATCTTATGGTGTTTTCTGCAATTTGTGTGTTACCGCCCAAAGGTTGTTAAGTTTCTTTGCACTTCATCCATCCATTCTTTCCATTAGCTGCTTTAGCTGGTTAAAAAAATCAGATATCTATTGGTTAGTTAAGTTGCTTAACTACCAACAGTTACTTGGCCACCTTACCAGAGGTATTAAGACACTTCACTTACGTTTCAGGGTCTAGGTTTCAATGAAATGCATTTGGAAATCTCCACCACATGTTATTAACGAATATAATAACGATAGTCTTGGAAAAAAATATTTAAAAAAAAAATCCGCATTTTGGATAGTCATGGAAAAAATTATTTTTTAAAAAAATCCACGCCTTGGATAGTCTTGGAAAAATTATTTTTTAAAAAAATCCACGCCTTGGATAGTCTTGGAAAAAAAATATTTTTTAAAAAAATCTACGCCTTGTGGATGGTCTTGGAAAAATTATTTTTTAAAAAAAATCCATGCCTTGGATAGTCTTGGGAAAAATTATTTTTTAAAAAATCCAGTCTTGTGAAAAAGAATTTAAAAAAAATCCACGCCTTGGATAGTCTTGGAAAAAAAATTTTTTTTTAAAAAAATCCAAGACTTGGATAGACTTGGGAAAAATATTTTTTTAAAAAATCCAGTCATGGATAGCCTTGGAAAAAATATTTTTTTAAAAAAATCCACGCCTTGGATAGTCTTGTGAAAAATAATTTTTTAAAAAAATCCACTCTAGTCTTTGAAAAAATGTTTTTTAAAAATCCACGCCTTGGATAGTCTTGTAAAAAAATATTTTTTAAAAATAAAATCTATAAAATTTAAAATGTTGGGAAAAATAATTTTTTAAAAAAATCCAGCCATGGATAGTCTTGGGAAAAATATTTTTTTAAAAATAAAATTTATAAAATTTAAAATTTTTGGAAAAATATTTTTTTAAAAAAATCCAGCCATGGATAGTCTTGGGAAAAATATTTTTTAAAAAAATCCACGCGTTGGATAGTCTTGGGAAACATATTTTTTAAAAAAATCCACGCGTTGGATAGTCTTGGGAAAAATATTTTTTAAAAAAATCCACGCGTTGGATAGTCTTGGGAAAAAATTTTTTCCAAAATTGCGAAAAAAAAAAAAAATCCACGCCTTGGATAGTTTTGGAAAACATATTTTTTTTTTTTAAATCCACGCCTTGGATAGTTTTGGAAAAAATATTTTTTTTTTTTAAAACCACGCCTCTTTAACAAAAATATTTTTTTTTAAAAAATCCTCGCCTTGAATAGTCTTGGAAAAAATTATTTAAAAAAATCCACGCCTTGGATAGTGTTGGAAAAAATTATTTAAAAAAAAAATCTACGCCTTGGATAGTCTTGGAAAAATCCACGCCTTGGATAGTCTTGGAAAAAATATTTTTTTAAAAATATCCACGCCTTGGATAGTCTTGGAAAAAAATATTTAAACAAATACATGCCTTGATTAGACTTGCAAAAAAAAAAAAAATTAAAAAAAATCCACGCCTTGGATAGTCTTGGAAAAAAATTATTTTTTTTAAAATAACCACGCCTTGCATAGTCTTGGAAAAAATTATTTAAAAAAAATCCACGCCGTGGATAGTCTTGGGAAAAATATTTTTTTTAAAAAATCCACGCCTTGGATAGTCTTGGGAAAAATATTTTTTTAAAAAAATCCACGCATTGGATAGTTTTGGAAAAAAATATTTTTTAAAAAATTTTCACCTAAGCTAGTCCTTCAAAAAATATTCTTTAAAAAATCCACGCATTGGCTAGATAGATTTTTTATATTTGAATCCATGCCTTTGTGGGCCTAGAAATATATTTTTTAAAAATCTACGCCTTTGTTGGTCCATGATTTGTCCCTGAGGATGGCAGCGGGTAGTTTTATTTTTTTCTACAACAACAACAAATTGTCTCAATTTGTCTCTGTGGATTTAATTAATCTATGTATATATTATAATTGCCTTAAGCATATTGAACAGCCTACATTTTATTGGATAAAATCTCATTATAGAAAGGGTAAGCATGCTTTGGGCTGAGAGAAAATATAAAATTTAAAAATAAATTTATTTTATTATTTGTTAACCTCAAATAATAATTGAAATAAATTTCAATTTCTACAGATAACATTGACGAAGGTTTTTCAAAATTTGTTTTTTTTTTAATTTTTATCACTCCATTTATTCTCCCCTTTTTGTGGTTAATATACTTCCACCCACTCTCGACTGTCATAAAATATAATCAAATCTAATCTCGTATATCCTACGCTCATTTACATGTAAATGTAAGTGTGTGTATGTATGTATGTGTGTATACACTCATACACAGACCGACCACATTCCTTCAACATCCTTTGTGTTGAACAGAACATTCAATTCGATAAAAAAAACTTCCTTTTGTGATGTCGTGCTGAATGGTGGATGGGCAAGGCAAAGACAACGGACTAACGTCAGTTAGTCTGGACGACAAATTGACTCATGCTGGCCAATGGAAGTTCAATACAAAGAGAATACTTGGATGTGTTCTAAAGAGGAGAAAACAGAAGTTATATCAGAGACGTAGTCTTTTTAAAAATATTGTTTCAGGGATCAACAGATTTTTTTTTAAATTATTTTTTTTAGGGACTAGACAAGGCGTGGATTTTTATACCCTTTACCACACTGTGGTACAAGGTATTATGTCTTTGTGCATATGGTTCCTTTTGAGAATATACATAGAATCAACTTCTAAATCGATTTATGCATGTCCGTCCGTTCGTCTGTTCATGTTAAATTGTAAATAAAGTACAGGTCGCATTTATAAACCGAATTGGATGAAATTTGGCACAGGTCACTTATTCGGCCCAAGGACGAACCCTATTTGAAATTGGGAAAAATTTGGCATAGCGTACTGAATTAAGTCTATAGTGATTTGTGTTGGTGCACTATTCATCTCGATTTGAGGTGAATAGTGCA